GAAAGGGAGGGAGGGAGGGAGGGAAAATCCTTCTGTGCAATTCCATGAAACCAAAATTAATAGCCAAATATTGAGGCAACAAAATGCTTAAATGCTTAGTGATTTCTCTAAGTCCCTATCTTTTGTCTTTGGTAGTCATGATGTCATGAGGATTTTTTTTATTTTTTTAATAATTAAAAAAGGCAAATAAATCATGTTCACCAGGTAACTTGTGTCAAAACATTTCCAAAGAAATCACATAAGTAAGAAAGGCAATAATTTATTTGATAAACTATATTTGTCTAATTAATGGGGATATCACATATGTTGTATAATAATATTGTTATAATAATATAGTTTTTAATTTCTAGTAATTAAGGGGGAAACAAACAAACAAACAAAACAATTACCAGGAAATGTAGATGCACAAATTAAGAGTATAAAATCCAGATATCAGGAAATTTGACACACAAAACTCACACACAACTCATTTCACACACAACTGCATTTACATTTACTGTATTAAATAATGTAATAACAATAACAATAACAATAACAAACAATAACAATAACAATAACGATGATGATGATGATGATGATGATGCGCATTCATGGCACTTATCAAATACTTAGCTCATTCTGAAAATCATGCTCATGTAAGGAGCTTGGCACTGAATTTTTCGTGTTCTCCCCTATGTTTTCCCGATTCAGGTTATTTATATTTCAATTTTCTGGTCATGGTGTCGTGGTTTAACCCGGCCGGCAGCTAAACACCACGCAGCCGTTCGCTCGCCCTCCCCCCTCCCTCTCTGGGACGGGGGAGAGAAATGGAAAGTGAAGCCCGTGAGTTGAGATAAAGACAGTTTAATAAGACAGGAAAATAATAATAACAAAATAATAATAACAAAATAATAATAACAAAATAACAATAATAACAATAATAATAATATGGTGATAATAGGGAAATAATAATAATATGTACAAACAAGTGATGCACAATGCAATTGCTCACCACTCGCTGACCGATGCCCAGCCTAACCCCGAGCAGTCCGGCCCCCCTTCCCCCGGTTAGCCACCCCTATATATTGTTTAGCATGACGTCAGATGGTATGGAATACCCCTTTGGCTAGTTTGGGTCACCTGTCCCGGGTCTGTCCCCTCCCAGCTCTTACTGCACCCCCAGCCTGCCCGTTGGCAGGACAGAGCAAAAGGCTGAGATGTCCTTGGCTTAGTATAAGCACTGCTCTGCAACAATTAAAGCATCGGGGTGTTATCAGCACTCTTCTCATCCTAAGCCAAAACACAGCATTCCACCAGCTACTAGGAAGAAAATTAATTCTGTTCTAACTGAAACCAGGACACATGGTCAATTACTTTAGTTCAATGCTTAATTATGTTCAGGCATTGGATAGAGAACCTATAGTGTACATTACCTCAAACCATAGGCATGGAGATATGTCAGGTGTCTAGATTTATTAAAGGTATTAACCCTAGCTATAGTTTCTACAACCTAGAGGTAATTAATTGTTTAGACTTATTCTAGAATCAGCAGATTCCCACAGCATATGTTTTGCATCCACCTGCTGACTTTTACATGTGGTCATGCGGTCATGTTTAAATGTGGTCGTTCATCATCATACATATTTTTGCCCATTTCATAGAATCATAGAATGACTTGGGTTGGAAGGGACCTTAAAGATCATCTAATACCAACTCCCTTGCCACAGGCAGGGATGCCACCCACTAGACAATGCTGGCCAAGGCCCTATCCAGCCCAGCATTGAACAGCTTCAGGGATGGGGCATCCACAACTTCTCTGAGAAACCTGTTTCAGTGCCTCACTACCCTTACAGTGAAGAATTTCCTCCTAAAGTCTAATTGAAATCTATCCAGTTTTAATGTAAAACCATTCCCTCTTGACCTATCATTATCTACCTGACTCCAAATCTTTCTTCATTCTTTTAAAAAAAGATTTTTTGAAGACCCTTTCAGGGAGTAATGAAAGGCCACAATGAGGTCTCCCTGGAGCCTTCTCTTCTCCAGGCTGAACAGCCCCAGCTTTATCAGCCTTTCTTCATAGGAGAGCTGCTCCAGCTCTCTGATCTTTTGTAGCCCTGCTATGTACTCACTATAACAGGTGCCCATCTTTCTTGTTCTGGAGGCCCCAAACCTGGATGCAGTACTCTAAGTGGGGCCTCACAAGGGCAGAGAAGAGGGGAACAATCACCTCCCTCAACCTGCTGGTCACACCTCTTTTGATGTAGCCCAGAATGCAGTGGGCCTTCTGGGCTGCAAGAGCACACTGCTGGTCTGTGTCAAGCTTTTCAGCCACCAGAAAGCCCAAGACCTTCTCTTCAGGCCTACTCTCATTGTGTTCTTCTCACAGTCTGTACACCTGTCTGTGACTGTCCTGACCCAGGTGCAGCATTTTGCACTTGGACTTGTTGAACTCATACAATTCACATGGGCCCACTTCTGCAGCCTGTCCAGGTCCCTTTGAATGGCATCCGTTCCTTCTTCAGGTAACAACTGCACCACTCAGCTTGGTATCATCTGCAAACTTGCTGAGGGTGCATTTGATCCAACTGTCCATATCATTCATAAAGATATTAAACAGTACTGGTCCCAGGACAGACCTCTGAGGGACACCATTCATCACCAGCATTCACCAGAACATAGAACCATTGACCACCAATCTCTCTCTGGGTGTGGCCATCGAGCCAATTCCTTATCCACCAGAGGTCCATCCATCAAATCCATATCTTTCCAATTAGGATGCTGTGTGGGACTGTGTCAAAAGCCTTACAGAAGCCCAAGTAAATGACATCAGTCAGCCTTCCCTTGTCAATTGATGTAGTCATTCCATCACAGAAGTCCACTAGATTGGTCAAGCACAATTTGACCTTGGTAGAAGCCATCCTGGCTGTCCAGCATCACCTTCCTTGTCCTGCATGTGCCTTAATATTGCCTTCAGGAGGATCCATTCCATGATCTTTCCAGGCATAGAGGTGAGGCTCACCAATCTGTCATTCCCTGGGTCTTCCATTCTATCCTTTTTAAAAATGGGAGTGATGTTATTTCTCAGTGTACAGGTTGAAGAGGTTGTTCCTTGTGATAGACATGCAAATGTACTGGTCTTATAGCTTAGTATTCCCTTCCTGGTTTGGTTCTAGAGATGAGTACAAATGAAACTCGGAAATATCATGGAAATTGCCTCATGCATACATAGAAGCAGAATTCAGGAGTAAATGTAAGTAGGTCATTATAAATCTGAGTAAAGCAAAATTAACTGAGGTGAGATGCATATGCAAACTCATTTCACAAAATCACTCATGCATACAGATAACAAATTTTGTAGTTATGGCATGCTTTCTGTTCTCAAGTCTAATGGCTGAATAAAAGCAGAAAGAAAAACAAACAAACAAAAAAACAACAAACAAACAAACAAACAAACAAAAAAGAAAACTGGAGAAACCTTTATTTTTCATTAAACCAAGCACTGCTTTTCCAGGGAATTGTGGAGAAACTATCCACACTTTAATATGGATTTCTCCTTCAGCTTCTCTTTTAAGAGCAGCAGCCCATGAGAGACTTCAAAACAAGTATAAGGAGATGTATTTTTGAAAGGTATAGTTCACCCTTGATGCTGTTATTTTGAATTTTAGTTCTTTCAGAAATCTCAGATGGGTACCTTCTGGTTCTAGCAATTCACTGTACTTGAATTTTTCATACATCTCCTAAGTTTTCTCTACTGCACTTCAGCTTCCTTTGTTGTTGTGCTCATTGTTTATGAGAAGTATCTGTAAAAGGAATTTAGAACTAAAGTGAGCAGAAAGATGGAGGCATGGAAGTTAGACGCCATATACATGGAAACAGGGAACCTTTTACTGTCTTAAACTCTCTATACAGCATATTTAAATGGCTAGACCATTCATGACAGGATGTATAGTAGACAGAGGAGGGAAATGTTCAGTTCTTATTCACAGGGAGATGTCTGTAGCTAGGCTGATATATATGATATACACAACTGATATATATATAAGCTGTATGACAGAGTTGAAATATTATGTCCTTAGTTTCATATGGACAGAAGATAACACCCTGTATATAGGGGACCAAGAATTTGTAATAAAGACTGTATAAAAAATTTGTCTATCAAAATGGTGGGGGTAACCGGATAAGCTGTTTAACTTTTGTAACTTTATCTCCAACTGCCACATCCTGTTGAGCAGACAATTGTGATAACTACCTGCTGCAAGATAACAATTGCAGTAACTGAAATGCCCAAATAAGGAAAGGATGATCAATTCGCAATGCATAGGAAGACTATGACCTTCATCCCCGTGACCACCAGAGAGCCCGTGATGACCCCCTAGCAACTGGTTGCACAACCGCAGAAGAAACCAGGATGTGCCACTCAACCTGGGACCACTAGAAAATAAAAGGGGACCCTGGCAGGGGTAAGGCACGCTGTTGGTGGAGTAAGAGACTCCCTGGCCGCCCAGCGCTGTTTTGCCTGCTTGACCACTTGCTTGAATAAATTCTGTTTTGATAAGTACAAACGACTTTTGGCTTTTATAACAAATTGATTGTTAGTGTATTCAATTTTTTAACAGTTGAATGATCCAAATTATACACTGAATTCAGAGAAGTCTCACTAAAAGTCAAAACTATTATAAAAAAGCAGTCTAGTACACTTTTTTCCTGTTTATTATGTTCTCCTTCCAGAGTCCCTTTTTGGTACCAAGGCTGACATTGTCATCTTCTTCTGGAAGAACAGGGCTATAAGAATTATGATGAACTTCCAACATCCCAAGGCAGAAGATGGTCACTGTGGTAGTTTCTCTGCCCTTGGCTGGGGCCCCGCGTAGGGCTCTGTGGATGCATTTCTCCCCTGCCCCCAGCCCTGTTGGCTGCCTTTTGGGAGGTCTGTGGGGGAGTGCAGCATACACCCTACTGTGTGACACAAAGGGATATTGTTTTCCCTTTGACCTGGGATCTACCAGGACAGCTGGGATCCCCAGCTGTCTGGCAGTGCTGTCCAAGTCAGTGATGGCTCCTGCCAGGTGGTTACAGTCATATGATGGAAAAATGGGGGATTTTAATTGATAATGGGAGCTACAATGAAAGGTAATTCAGGTTTTCTTCACTTTTTCTTCACCTACAAATCTGGGATAATAAATAACTAATTAAACAGCTGCTTTGGAGAGGCAATGATCTTTGATGTTCTTTTTCACCCTGAATCTTGAATTCATAGAACAATGATAGCTTCAATACAATTAATGTTTTAAAGTGTGTTTCAAGAAACACTCATCCTCAAAATGCTCAAAAATGTGTAGATGTCTAATATACAGAAGGCTCCAGAAGGTTTATGAGGAACAGCACTTAATTTCTGAATATGTGTGGAATTTGTGTGTGCATTGGGAGATACATAGAACCTGCTTGGACCTAAGTTTTTTTCTTTACAAATCCTGGTTAATGTTAAGGTCTAACGTTTTGTTTTCTGAAACTGGCTATTTTGAGAGATGTAGACCAAAGGTAGCAGAGGAATACTTAAGTTTCAGAAATAAATCCAGAAATCCACCTAAATAATCAGATTTTACCTTCAACTAATTTTTGTTACTTTTCAGCTAATGTGCATATCCCTATAACTCTTTGTAGTTTTCAATGTATTTTTGTTTGTTTGTTTCAGTATTTTATTTAACTTTATAAATGAAATATTTCTACATTAATTTCCAGGGTATCTGTGCTTAGATTGTCTTAGCATCATTTAAGTTGCTTTTATTTTTATTTTTTTTTAATTCACATGTGAACTGAACATTGGTAGTAGTTTGATTTATTTACACTCTTCACTGAATTCATTTATCTTATTAAAGTACATTCAAAATATCATATCTTCAGAAATTATGTTTATATATTTCTGTTGTTACCATTCTGTAAAAGAAGAAATTTAAAGCATAGTTATGAAGATAGTTATAAATTCTAAGGGAAAAAAAAAAAAAAAAAAAAAAAAAAAAGACATCCATCCATAGCGTGGTTTGTTTTTTTTTTAATATTTTTAAAATGTATGCTTTTATTTTATTTTATTATTATTATTATTATTAATTTTCCCTTCATCAGCAATGAAACAGAAATGTTAAAATGTTCACCATTTTGTTTTGATCTGGTAGAGTCAAAACGCTAGAACCTGAATTCACACAACCTAACTATATGCATTTACATAAGCTTCCAAAGCTAGGAGGTAAGATATTCATCTTCCTCTATTGTTACAGAAAACAATATATGAGGAAACATCAGCACCTTCATTCTCTTCATTGTGAAATTACATTTCAGAGGTGCGTTTTCCTGTCAGTGGCCATATAAGACATCTAGTGTGATTATACTCCTAAATTAGGTACCTCAATTAAGTGCATAAAGCTTTAACATAGCTTGAAGGCAGACTCTTGGATGAGTTCATGTCACCTAAAAACAGTCATTTAGTTTAAGTGCCTAAATTCTGTTCAATCTTTTTGCACCTAAGATGACACAAAATGTACCACTTCAATTTGATGAATCTTCAGTTTGATGAATCTGAGAAGAAATTCCACAATGCTACATGAGTACTGAGATATGTGAAATTAATCAGGTTCATGCTTTTTGATGCTTGAAAGACTGCTAAAGTGTATTTATAAGGGTGAAGTGGGTTTATGTGGCAAGGTTTTGGTAGCAGGGGGATGCAGGAGTGGCTGCTGCTAGAATAATGTAGAAGCTGCCTCATTTCAGATATGGGCCAGTTTCAGCCAACTCCAAAAGGATACAGCCCTGAAGACACCATGGTCAGTGCAGTAGGATGGCAGGAGGTGCACTAGGTGCTGGAACAGAAGTTCCCCTGCAGCCTGTGGAGAGGCCCCTGGTGAAGCAGGCTGTCCCCCTGCAACTCATGGGTCCTACATGGAGCAGATCTGCATGCTGCAGACTGTGGAGGAGCCCCCGGTGGAGCAGGTGGATGTGGAGTGGAGGAGGCTGCAGGCCATGGAAAGCCCCCACCGGAGAAGGCCCCGAGCAGGAGCTGCAGCCTGTGGAGAGGAGTCCATCCAGGAGCAGGAGATCTGAGGGGGAGCTGCCGCCCATGGGAGATCCATATTAGAGCAGTTTGCTCCTGATGGATGGACGGCCCCATATTGGAGCAGCTCTTGAAGAGGGAAGCCCCCACAGGATCAGTTTGGGAAGGACGGCATCGCATGGGAGGGACCCCATGTTGGAGCAGGGATATAGAGTGACTGTGAAGGAAAGGCAGAGACTAAGTGTTAGGGACTGACCACAGCCCCCATTCCTGGTTGTCCTGCACTGCTCAGGGGGAGGAGGTGAAGGAGTGTGGATGGGGGAAGGTGTTTTTGGTTTCTTTTCTTTGTTTCTCATTTCTTTCTGTTACTTGTTAGTAACAGGCAATACACTTTACCAATCTTCCTACACTGAGTCTGTTTTGTACATGATGATAATTGTTTTGTGATATCCCTGTGCTTATCTCCACCCTTGAGCCCTTTTCCTCATATTTTCTCCCCTTTTCCTTTTGAAGACGGGGAGTGAGAGAGCAGTTGTGTTGGAGCTCAGTTGCCTGCCTGAGTAAAATCACTACAGAGGGACCCACAATTTTAGAAAATTTTGACATCAGTGTGTGTCTACTTACATATTTTTGGTCACAATTAGAGAGGGATTCAGATCCTGGTTCAATTAGAGAGATAGATTAAGACATACAGAATAGTTCTGTAGATTCCACTAAAAGTACTGATTAGATCTCCATTGACTACAAACAATTTTAGATAGCTACCACGCATAAAATCACTGACATACAAATTTTCTGGTTTTAGCTGAATTCTAACTCAAAATGACCCTGACACAAATCACACTAAGGGTTTAGGAAAGCTCTGAATGCATTTAGTATATAAACATATAATTTAGTCAAAACAAACTTCAGTGGTACCAGATGCTTTTTGAGAACATTGATAGAGAAAGTATATTTTTTGGTCTGTATTTTGTGCAATAGTCTAACTATAGGAATTTCCTTCTTACTTACTGTAACATGTTTCTATTGACATTTTATAAAGCTCAAGATAATTCTGATATTTAGTAAGCTCTTTCTGGGAGAAAATAGACTTATAGACTTTTGTGTTGAACTAAATACTGCAAAATTCATCCCAGCAGATGGATAGCTAAATCTGTGCATTTTTGTTTGTTTGTTTGTTTGTTTATTTGTTTTTTAGTCTGTTTCCTCTCTCTTATATCAGCAGAAACTGCTATGTATTTTTGGATCTAGCTTTGACTACAATCCATTTTCTTTGTTTGATAACAAGGATTATATTTTTGTCTTCAAGTAAAATTCCACATATTGTGAAAGAGAATGTCAAGGTTAAAAACAAAGGAACAAGCACAATAGAATGTGTAGAATATTTTTCTTCCTCTTTAAGGACCTTCTTTTCTTACTCTGAATTGATTTCTGTCCTTTCCCCACTGTTAAAAGATATAGGCAAGTGTCTGTGCTATAAGCCTTTAGCAGGTGCCTCATAAGGAAAAGAAAAAAAAAAAAAGTTTTTATATCTCATTAGACCTTTCATTAGGATGTGGCAAGTATAGTGGTGAACAAAAGACAACCTCTGTGTTGCAGTACAATGAAGGTGGGTCAATGTGGCACAGGGTATTTCAGTGTGAATTTCTTTATTTTTCTAATTAATATCTATCCTACCAAAGATCAATGCCATAATACTTGTTAGTACTCTAAAAAGAATGGAGGAGATGAACATGGATGAAATAATAACCAGCATGTAACAATTTTAACTAGAATAGACTTATGCACAGAATGTGAATGGATAACGTTGGAAAAGGCATAGGTTACTCAGCCTACTCATTTGTCATTATACTGTTAGACATTCACTTTTTTTTTTTTTTTTTTTAAGAATAGGCTATGAATCTGAAGAAATAATTTAAAGCTACTTTCTTGGACAAGAATCCTGCACATTTCAAATGCAATTTAACTGTTCTATTTGTATTGATCTGTATGGTGATTTTTTGAGTTATTATGTAAAAATATAGTGAAAGAAAATAGTATTTCTTGAACTAACTGTAAAAAAAGTTCCCAAGAATGAATAAGGAACCATTTATTCATGATACTTAAAGTCTCTCTGTTAGCTATAGTAGGACTATCAAGTAAATCATAAGGCAAATGAAGGAAAGAGGTACTAGAAATTATTATCATCATGAAAATGCCAGCATTACTGAGATAGCTTCTTCCAAAGATTCATGACCTTTTATTATTATTATTATTATTATTATTATTATTATTATTATTATTATTATTATTATTATTATTATTATTATTATTATTATTATTATTAAATGTAGCAGCAGTAAATTAAAATTAACAATATTCTAAGAAATATAGATCTGTAAGATACCTTGGGTCTTTTTCTACTTCATCTTGTGATGAAAATGTCAATGTCAATGAAAATCATTGACATTACCCGTCTGATACATTAATGTAAGTATAAATATTCAAATTAAACATCTATTTTATTTCATGGAAATGGTATTCTTGAAAAGCACCTCTCCAGTGAAGAAAGGGTCAGGGAGTTGGGTAGTTCAGCCTGGAGAAGAGATGGCTCCACAGAGACCTTGTTGTGACCTTTCAATATATAAAGGGGGCTTATAGGAAAGAAGGACCTTTAGTGGTTCTTTCAGCTTAAACCTAAAATGAATTCTATAATGCCCCAGTGATGATGTTATACCTAATAGATATTAATAATAGTTACAGAAATATTATATATATTGCAGTAGATCATTATGTTTATAAACTGTGACCCTAGTCCAAGAATTCATACATAACTACACTGGGCTAACATAAAAAGTTTTTATATTATCAAGAATCTACATTTTGAATGTTGATGAAGAAACACATGGACCCGTAGCCAGACTCCCAAGAATTACATGATCAAAGCAGAGGCCTTAACATTGCAGGCATAGAATGATACCAGAAACTCTACAGATTATATCACAAATGGCCAACTACCAGTCACTAAGGAAATCAAAAGAAATCCAACAAAATGAAGACTTGAGAGCTGGGCATAATTTGTACAAAAGTGTGTAGCAAATCCATTGTA